CAGCAGCCACACCAGAAGCGTCACCCCATGTGGCTGAGGGGGTGGGATGGCGGGTGACACCCCGGAGCCAGCAACGGGAAGGGAAAACCAGATGGTTCCTGCCGCACCACACTCTGGGCTAATTCTCCTCCCTTTTGGGGCCGCGGGGTCCAGCTCGGCGCAGGCGCCAGGAGAGGAGGAATAAACAAACCGCAGCGACAGGAGCGTAACAAAATATTTAATGTACCTGGTCTCGCAGGTGGGCAGGCGTTGTGCTCGGATGCTTTCAGCAGCAGCTGTAAAAGATCCACCCTGGCAGTGCAGCGAAATGCCGCAGGGAATTCCAATTCTGCATCACAAGAGAACTTAAACCTGAATTAAATACAACCTATTCCAAGCCTGACTGTAAAACATTCATTTCTCTTAAAAAAAATGATGCTAGGCAGCTCTGGATGAGCATCCTGAAATTAGGGCTGTGCTAGGAACTTGGCGAGCCAGCCGGTGCCGCAGGAAGCGGCGTGTTCATCCCAGAACTTGTGCGTCAACGTTCTCCCGCCCGAGGCCAGCGAAGAGCGGCGGTGGATCCCCGGATCGCCGCGGTGCGACTCAGCTCCCGTGCTCGGCCGGCTGAAGCGCTTCTGGACGTCCTGATGGTAAAAGGCACGAGAAGAAAACCAACGCCATCGCCCAGCAGCTTGCGAGGTGACTTTCAGGCAAGGCAAATCCCTGCTGATAGGAGTACGTCGGAGTGAAATCCGAGACATCCCAACGGGAAAAATCCAGTGCAGTCTCACAGCAAGTCGCTCACCGCGCTGAGTCACCTCAAACTCAACTGGTGTGTGCAGTTTCCATGAGGAAATCTGTCCCGGCATATGGGAGAGCAAGGTGACTACAGCCCTCACCCTTCTCCTGCTCCTCTAATTCAAGGAAATTAGCTTCAGACGGTGTTTTGCCAGAGCAGCACCAGAAATAAGGCCTACAAGGAAGTTGGCGTGCCTACAAGGAAGCTGGGGGGACTTTTTACAAGGCCTGTAGTGACAGGACAAGGGGTAACGGGTTTAAATTGAAAGTGGGGAGATTCGTACTGGATATCAGGAAGAAGTTCTTCCCGGACAGGGTGGGGAGGCACTGGGACAGGTTGCCCAGAGAAGCTGTGGATGCCCCATCCCTGGATGTCTTCAAGGCCAGGCTGGATGAGGCTTGGAGCAACCTGGTCTAGTGGAAGGTGTCCCTGCCCATGGCAGGGGGGGGGACTGGATGATCTTTAAGGGCCCTTCCCACCCCAACCATTCTGTGATTCTAGAAGCCCTGTCCTCCTCGTGCTTTGCACTAGACCAGTCTCATTCCCAAAGAGAAAACAGTATTCCCATTACAGCCCCTTCCTCTGCAGCAATTCCCAGGCAGCAGAGTGCACGCTGGATGTTTGTGGGACAGATGCTGCTGACCAGAGGCAAGCGATGCAGTGACTGTTAGATGCAGCTCCTAATGCACAGCTGGGATGTACATTAATGTACCGTTCTAACATACCCCTCCTTCCCCTCCACGCACTAGGAGACCTTTACAGGCCTGTAACATTCATGACTAACGCCCGGAGGGATCCGGCAGCCAGGCTGCGTGCCAAAGCCCTCTGACCGTGGAGCATCTCTTCCACAGCCTGGGCCACAACTCAAGCTCCGGCCTTGCTACCTGTTGCATGGAGACAAGCTCATTTAACACAGAGTAGAGGAAAACCTATCCCAGAGGGGAAAAGCTGCTCCGTATTCTCCATGCCCTCTCTGCAGAACAGCCACGTGCCCTGGCCCTCAAGCTGTGTGCCTGCATCACCCCAAGCTCCGCTGCACACGCGAACATCATCCTAGCAGAGCAGTTTTCTGTTCATTAATCTTGGCCACTGTGGCAACCAAAGCAACTCACCCCCCACTGCAGAGACTGCAATTCCCACTGCCGAGCTCCTCACCATTATCCCTCTCTTCTGCGCAGTGTAACAGCAGCTCTTTGAAAACAAGGGTCTTGTAATGTTTAGAACAGGACGGAGGAGTCCCAAATTCCTATGGAAACCCAGGTCAGCACAGAAAATCTAGAGTGTCCCTGCTAACCACGACAGCGTTCCTCTCTACCAGCAGCCACAGGGCAGCAACAACCCCGATCTCTCCGTGCCTGTTCTGAAAGGAGACGTTCCTCTCCCTCAGAAGGGAGCCGTGAGGTTCATTGCCCGGTTACGATGCCTTTCCAAGAACAACAGATGAACAATAAACCAAGGCAAACTGTTGTTGCGAAGATTTTGGGGAAGTCTCAGCCTAAATAGCAAAGGAAAATGCCAGTAGGATTGAGGCATTTGGAGAAACTTGATTCCACATTCTTTGCATTTTCTCCTCTAAGCAAAACTGCTCGTTTTTAGAGTACAGGGGCCAACACTCCCTCTTCGAGGCTCATGTACTGACCTCCTGCCTGACACTGCTCGGTGAATTTAATTTTACGTAGCTCTCAAAGCCACCTGCGGTGACACAGCCCCTCGGCACGCCACGATCTCCAGCCACAGCAGACGCGAAGTGACTCGGCTTGCACTCGCGAGGAGTCTCGCACTGGTGGCCGAGATATCTAGAAACAGCTGCTCTTTATAAACAGCCTCTCACAACAGTTCAGCGCGCAACGCTGATACGCTCAAAACTGCCAGGAGCAGTTGCGTCAACAGAATGGAATCGGTCACGCTGGAATTTGGCCAGGCCATTTGGAATTAACACCCTGAATACTGCGAAAGAGCCACGTAAAGTCGTGGGTTAAGAGAAGAACCATCAAACCACCCTCTAAATAACAGCAGTGCTCTGCCTTTCCGCCACTCGCCAGATGACTAACGTGCTTTTGTGTCGCAGAGGCTCTTCCTCGGAAGTCTGCCTTGCACGCACGGGTCCAGCCACACCCAGCTTGGAAAAACAGAAAACAAAAGTGGAGGAAGAAAGCATTTTTTCCTCTTTTTCCCCTGTTATATAAATCAGAGTTGGTTGGGGTTTTTTTTAAACCATTCACAAAATGAAATTTGAAATTCCAGAAAAACACTTCTCCAGCTCTAATCCCATCCTCCCTTTCTTGTCAAACACCATGCTAAACCACCCAATCCCGCTTTGATATTCACTCCTCTCACTCCAGCTAATCCTGTCAAAACATTTTCAGCCGTTAGCACCACTGTAGGACTGAGGTTCAGACATGTTTTGAGGCCACTACAGAAATACTTGCTAGGAACATTCAAAGGCGGTATTAAAAAAAAAAAAATAAAAGACATTCACTAGTTTCCACAGGACTTTTCCTTCATTATTCCAACTTACACTAAATATTTCTGTAACCCTACACAGCATTTGTTTACTCACTGCACTGAAGCAAAGAACCCAGAGGTACGAACTGGGCTTGTGCGTTCAACCCCCTTAGAGAGGGATTCTTAACCTGCAGGTCGGCTTGTGAAAAGCATGACGGAGGCGATGCAAAACCCTAAGAAAGGTATGGCAAGACACTCAGGAAGAGAAATGGGCACTTAGGGTACAATCAAGCTCACCAGAGTTTGGGTCAGCATGATCCACTAGAAGATGCTGTGTTTAAGGTGGCTGAGAATCCACAGCCAGCGAGCAGTAATCAAGCAGCAGTGGCAGCTGGCAGCAAGGAAAAGGAAAACCGAGGTTCTGCACACAGTGAAGAGGTTTTTAAGTGGCTTCACAACAGCAGGACAGAGCTACCTGCGCAACACGGAGAAAGGAATATGGTGCAAACAGCAGGTCACAGGAAATACGGCTGTGCGGATGCAGCGACAGAAGTGATGTGCGTTGGTTAAGCAGCACTGGCTAGGCCAGGATCCTGCTCTGATCCAGGGCCAGCACAGGAATTCACCCACTTTATCAGGTGTCTTTGCAGAGCACAGTCTCTGCTAGGTAGTTGTCTGCTTGGTTCCTCACTGCCCCCACGCAATGCGCTGATATTAGAGGAGATGGAGGAAAAAAAAATGCTCAGTTGAACAACTTCCAGCAAAGCAGTTCAGGGCCTTCAGAACTGCCGTCGCCTTCTCCTTCCGATGGTCCCAGGAGGTGATTTCCCACAGGCCGCTGGAGCGCTGACATTTCCGATACGCTCGTGACAGCGCTGAGCCATCAGTTTCCCCTCTTCCAGGAGAAGGCCGGGTAGCCGCCTACGCGCTCCTTCTCAGCCTTCCCTCCTCGTAGCGCTGTCGGGGTTCTTCAGGGCACACAGGAGGCTGCAGAACAGCTCATACCAGAAGAAGACGAGGCCAGTAGAGACAGCAGCCTTCAGCAAGCTGGGCGAAAGGCCCTTAAAGAATCCACCCGGGCCCTCCTCTCGCATGATCTGCCTTATGCAGTCCAGGAGACCTCTGTACATCCGTACCTGGGGGAGAAACGGCAAGAAGGTCAAACAAGAAAAATCCAGGACAGCTTAACTGGACAAGAACACGGACAGCCCCAGGCTACACCACAGAAACCCAATCCAGACATGCAGCCTGGAGATGTCTTTCTGGCTATTATTACAACTAATGTATCAGAGAGTCAGTTTGTAGAGTGGGGTGAAGCACGTATTTGGCATCAGCAATGGCTTATGCAGATCATCCTAATTGAATGGCCAGATATGCTACAACAGCATCTACTATTTACAGTACATGTTTGTGAAGTAATTATTTCAGATTGTGCCGCTACGGTTTTCCACCACCCTCACTCTCTAAAGAGGGACAAATTTTCAGGTTCCTGACAGAGAGAAAACACAGCTACAGCACTTAAAAGTCCCTAAATTAGGGACTAATTAGGACTTAAATTAGGGACTAATTTTATTTAGTCATTAAATTAAATGCATGTCATCATGTCACATCGTGAAGGTTTAACATCTTGTGACACACCAATGCAAAGAACAAACTCCATACCTCACTGGAAGAGGAAAAGCATCCAATGCAGTGGGTTAAGAGTTCCAATTCCTATCATAGAGTTTCTTGAGGTGCAAGATGAATTTGCTTCTCAGATCCAAGGAATTGGAAGGAAAAAAATTAAAATTCCACATTTAAGGGGAAAAACAAAAAGAGAGAGTGCCTCGAAAGGTCTGTATTTATCTCACAGTTCATTCTGAGGTGGTAAGGATGGTGCTAAACACCACCAGAAGTATTTAATTGGCTTTGAATCTCAGGATGTTCTGGCACATAAGACTCACGCTGAACACAGGGTGCCCATTCCTTGTATCGAAGTATTAATTGCAGAAAAGGATCCCAACAGCCAGCGATCCCAGCATAAAGCTAGTGCCAACCTCTGCCAGCAGTTTGCACCTGCATCACAAATCCCAAGCTGCAACTAGAGAAGTAGAGTAAACCAAAAGCTCTCTGCCTGCCTAACTCATCCGCAGCTCCGAGCCAGCCAACCTGATGGAGATGAAGGAGAAGGCAGAGCACAGGTATGTTGGACAACATCCTAAAATGGGCCCAGTTTATTCACACAGCTATTCCCATTATTAAGCGAGACCAATGCTCAGCTCCCAGAAGTTCTCTGGGAGCTCCCAACCCGAATATGAAGACAAACTGGTTAATCATCACTGCATTCCAGTGATGACTGGCACAGATTGTCTTGATGCAAATCCATACTTCTGAAAATCGGTCAGTTCCCACCCAAACCATTTCTCACCTGCCCAAAGGCTGCCCGGGCATGCTCAAAGCCACCCACTTGCAGGCGTTTTTTGAACAGGTCAAAAGGGTAAGTGAGGGTTTTGCTGATGATTCCGGCGCAGCTGCCACAAACAAGGTTTTTAACGTTGCCTGAGAAGCAGAAAGAGGAGAGGACAGCGGGGAAGGAAAACAGAGGATTAGCAGGGAGTTCTCATTAAAGATCCCGAGAGGTAAGTTAAAATCACTTTTCACAAGCAGCAAGGCCAAAAAGGCCCTTTAAAGTGACATCACCTCTGCTGCAGATCTTGGGCCACAGAGCCTCGATTTGCATTTTCTACATGAGGCTCACAGTGGCCGTCAGAGCCAGAGCCCAACAGCTCACCTGGGATCATGACACTGATTCATGCTTTTGCTCTGCCAAGTGGCGTTGCACTTGGCAAAATAACCCCAGTCACCACAGAACCTGCCACCAGTGGATGGAAAAGTTTTCAAGCCCCCCAGAAAAAGCCCGGTCACTGGAAATCTTGCAGTCCTGATGGCTCATACTGACTTATTCTGGATTGGAATAAATCACAAGTTGACACCGCCTGATGATTTTCAAAGGCTTGTGGGAATTGAGTGTGGTGATAGGAGACTTTTCCCTGGCCAACAGGAGTTCCCAGTGCAAAACCACCAGCACCCTCTGCCATCTAAAAACACATAGGCAGACACGTTATTGGAAAGTCTAGTTCCTCTACCAAAGAGATTCCATTGAGAACAAGAACCTGCTGATGCTGCATCCACTCTCTCTCTCTGGAAGGCACTAATCTAGGCCCGTCAAGGTGATGGGTCACATCAGGATCAAGTTCTCTTGTAACGGAGCTAGAAATCAACATTAAAATATCGAGTCAAGAGCTGGGCAGTTTTAAGTCAGGCTAAATGAATCCTCTTTTGTAACAGCTGTGTTGGAACCTACAGGTGGATTTCCTGAGGAAATCCAAGAGTCCTGTCCCCACAGCACTAATGAAAGAGGGAAAGATGATGCCAGCACTGTCAGATGACGCCAGCTCAAGAAAGAGTACCCTGGCCTGTGATGCTTCACTTTCCCATCCATCCACATTTCCATCATGGCTATTCCGTAACAGGAGCTGTTGGTAAACTTCACTGTACCTACTTCCGCAGTATCCGTGCCACGGCTAAGAATGAGAGATGGGAAATTGAGGCTCTCTTCGGATGTCGCATCAAAAAGGGCGACAGGAGAGAATGCTGAGCTCACGTCAGTCTCCCAGCGCAGCACTCATCCTCTCTCCCTCCAGAGCGCAGACATCACTCTCCCAAGCGCGTACCTCCTTTTTTTCCTTCAGCTGGAATCACCCACTCGGAAAACTGCTGCAGGATGTTGTAGAAGGAGAACTGGAGACCAGCATATGGAAAGATAGCAACGATCGTGGGGGTCAAACCCCTGTAGAAAGTCCGAGGCCCTTCTGTCTGGTACATGGTCACCACTGCGTGGCGAAGGTTGCGATAGACCTAGACAATAAAGAGGAGGCTGACTCTAGTGAAACAGCCTTAAAAACAGCAAACCAAAGGTCAGGTTATTTCCCTGTAATGAGGACAGGGATTCCCGCTGCCCAAAATACAACTGACTGATTTTCAGCACAAAGCAGTGAACAGTGACTTTGCACATCTTTGGTGTTCTCAGCTAAGCCCTTGTGACTCCTCTAAGTAAGGGGACAACCTAAACCTACCTCTGAGCCACGAGAGACCACCTGAAGGAACGAGCGTTAGCTCTGCGCCGAAAGGCCTGAGCTGACACTGCATCCCCCACCCCAGCTGTGCTTCTGAGTGACAAAAGAAGGCACAGAGCTGAGCGTTGTGGCCAGAGACCACCTGCATCACAGACACGACCATTTTTCTCTGAACAGCTCTACTTGCTCCTGCAACAGAATTCATATCATATATATTATATATATCATTATACATATCATATATAGCAGCTCCGAGGAGAAGGACT